CCTATTTGCCCATCCGTTGGAAACTGGATAAAGAAGTTGTGGCTTTTCTATAAAATGGAATATTACTCAGCCATAAAGAATGAGAAAATATTCATTCATAGGAAAATGGATACATATTGAAGATACACTCCTAAGTGAAATAAATAAGTCACACATGTGTAAATACCGAATAGTTTCCCTGGTGTAAATAATCTGCAACAATGCATAAGATTCTAATAAGATTACTGACATTTAGAAATGGGAAGAAAGGAGCTAAAGGTGTAGGGAAGGTGGGATGGGTAGGGAAAGAGTAAAAAGGGAAAAGAAAAAAATGTGAGAGAATGAAAAGATGAAAATAAAGTGTTTGTAGATGGGGAGGGGAGGAAGGGGTGAAGGGAGGGCAGAGGTAAGGGGAAAAAATGAGAATCAAGACTTGTCATGTAGAGGTACAAGATCCCAACAATGAATGTAACTGTACCGTATCCCTAAAATGTACCAATAAACTCAATTAAAGCTGAAAAAAAAAAACATTAAATCTAATACTGTTTACACAGTACTAAGCACAGTACCTGAGGCTTAAAATGTGCCTAGTAAATATTAGATTACTCCTTCTAATCAGTCCTTGAGTTATTCAATATTTATTTTAAAAATAGAAAAATTGCAAAAATATATGTTTCTTTATGAGAAAACCCTAGTTATAGAGTTGGCATGAAATCAGTGAGGTCATGCTGGTTTAAAGTCATCTCTGCTTTAACCTTAAGTTTGTTTCCTTCTGGAGTTTTTACACTGCCAACTCTGCCGCTATGCTTTTTATATTTATGTTTCTTTGACCTGAAAAATATGTTTCTACTTATATTTTGGCTATTTTACTATTATATTGTGTGCTTTTGGTTTAAAACACCTAAATTTTTTTATAGAAAAGATAGGATATAACTAAATCTAAATGAATTATTTCTAATCTAAAATAATTATGTCCCTTGCTTCATGATTTATTCAATGATTTCATCCACCTATAAATAACAAGGATCCCATTTATTTTCCAGACTGCTCTACATAATAATTTATAAAACAAAATCCTTGACTTATGGGTTCTCTATTGCAGTTGAGAGGACTGACAAACAAGTTTATATACAGTATTATTAAGAGAGACTTCATTTTCTTCTTGGCAGTGTTTTCTTTATCCCCATAATGTATATAATCCAAAGTTATTCTATGTTTTTTTTTTCAACAGATTAAAAGCATTTTTAAAAAATCCACAGTAAGGCAATAAAATTTAATTGTATTTTACATTTTTGAGGCAGGGTCTTTCTATGTCGTTCAAGTTGGCCTTGAACTCACTATGTAGCCCAGGCTGGCCATGAACTCACAGCAATCCTTCCTGCTTCAAATTCCCAAGTGCTGAGATACAAGCATTTGCCACCACTTCCAGCCTTTACAATTTCACACTTTACAATGAAATTCAGTGATCATTTCCACATTGCCCACTCATTTTACGGATGAGAAAACTATAAAAGAGGCAATGAGAACATGAGTCAGGTCTCATTACTTTGCATTACTCCTACTATATAACAATGCCTGCAGTTTAAAATTTTGGTGAGGAGCTGAGCATGGTGGCACTGCCTAAAATCCCAATATTTAGGAGTCTGAGGTAGGAGGAAAGTGAGTTGGAGACCAGCCTGGACTATATAGCAAGACCCTGTCCTATCTTGAAAAAAAATTTTAGTGAGCTTTCTAACCCAAGTAAAAACTACACATGGCCTACTGAAATATACATTTATAACATTTAAAGATTTAGAAATACTAGTTGAAGTTTAGCAGCTTCTAAAAAGTTCTGTGTTTAATACTTCTGAAAATACTTTAAAAGGAAACCGAAATGAAACATCTCAAATCAAGCAAATTTTTTTCTAATTACTATGAAACATAATCTCCAAAACCGTACTGATTATTAGAGTTATATTAAATAGGTATGGGAGAGCAAAAATATAGTCATATATATTCTTGGGCACTATGAAGTAATAAACTAGAAAATTTATTGTCTATAGGGAGAAGACTTCTACAAAATGTGTATTTTCACAATAGTGAAATTGGGGCTGGGGATTTAGCTTAGTGGTTCCACCTCTTGCATCACAAGTGCAAGGTCCCAAGTTCAATCCCTGGTACCAAAACAAAACACTAAACACAATAGTGAAATCGCCAAAGGTGATTTACCTGCTAAAGCCCACTCTCCTGAGCCATGGGTGTGTCCACTATAATAGAGAACATATGTATCATGTCTAGGTCCATCCACAGTCCGAAGTTCAAGGAAAGATTTCAGTTTGGAATGTAGAGTATCAAAAGATAGTCCACTTGTGGAATAGTCACATCCATAGGTTTCAATCATATGATATGCAAAAAATCTTTGGATAGCGTTGAGCATGCCAGTAGACCTCAAATTTAATTCCTGTACATGTTCTGGTGGAAGCAGTGTTGGTTGACCATCAGGACTGAAGAAGAAGAAAAAACTATTATTTTGGTGTTTAAAAAGTATTATTCAATGTAATATTCTCATGTGTCATTAATAAATAAGAATCATAATAATAGTTGCTATCTAAATGGAAGGATTTTTAAAAATCATCTTTCCTAAAATGTCTATAGTGCTAAGAGTTAAGCTTGGAAAATCAAAACTTGATTTTTAAAAATGATATTTATCAATAAAGCAATAACTAAACTAAAAGCTAGGAGAATATCTCCAAAATGTAGATAATACTACTTGTTCTTTCTAATTTTTATTCTTTTAATCAATTGACAGATATTGAACAAGACATTGTAAAAGCAAGATCATACTACATATTTTAAGAACTGTAACTTATTCTCGAGAAAAAATGTTACCACATAAAATGTAGAAGAAACATTTTAATGATATATTTAATTTCTGTGTTGAAAAATCTTTATGAAGTTGGCTCAAGCTTTATTAAGGCATATAAAAGATGGAAGAAATTATCTATTAATAAATGTCATTTTGAAACAATTGTTAATTGTTAATACACCTATTGCCTTATACTTCTGAGCACTAACTAAAGACTCAGTTTGATCCTGGAACAAACGGTATTATAGCACAGATGCTATATCATGTTTTATATGAGCAGAAACAAAATACCATCAGTGTTGGAGGGGGAAGTCATCACTCCTATTCAGAAAATAAATTTCTATCAGGAATTTTGAAAACTTTAAAATTTTGGTTCATTTACTATGTACTAGTCTAAGAACACTTAGTTTCTTTAAAATATTTTGTTCCTTATTTGTAACACTTAACAGACAAGAAAAATAAATGAATACAAAATAAACAAATTACAATGGAACAAAAATTTGATTGTGCATAAATTCTTTCATGTATTCTTTCTGCAAAATTTCCATATCTTATTTTGAGATTTTTCCCAAGTCTCTTTTTTTTTTACTTCTCAGAAGAATCTCCAATTTTTACCAATTCTGCAACATGGAGGAAAATATTTATTACAAATTTATTTAAAGAATTTGTCAAATATTGAAATTAGATAATTTTAGGATATTCCTCCCATAAAAAGTATGTTGGCAAGTTGGTCATAAGAATTCATTAATAGCAAGAATTATTTTTTCTATTTTATAGATATTTAACAATAAAAAATAAAAATGTAGCAATATGTATAGTTTTATACAGATTTCCATTACTTTTGAAGGGACATATGAAGTTTTCTAAGAGCCTAGTATAACAAAATTCAATCAAATATTAAATTTTGAAAAATTAAAATTCTAAAAAAGGTATTTTTATACTCATATATTAAAATGTTCCACACATCACTGCACTGTTTTATTATAGCAAAGTATATATTGTGTTGTAGAAAATATGTGTGGTGCACATGTGTGGGGGGTATGTTTTTACACACATGTGTGCACTATTAAATGAGAAACATGGTCATAAATGTGGTAGGATTTTGCACATTTGGCATATTGATAGTTTCTCTGGCAACCTTATTATTTCTCTAAATTAGATGCTTGATTTAATTCATAGTCATTTGGGAAGAATATTACATATGTATTGGTGTTAAATGCTATTATTTATGCATATAAAAATATAATAAAAACAAGTACGGGATATAATAAAAAAGAAACAGAAAAATCTGATCTTAAAAATGTGAACTCTTTTAGTTGGTTTTGGAATTTAAATATAATTATATTTCTTTTATGTGGGAAGTTTTGTTAGAAAATGTAAGTGATACAATCAACAAGCATATGATATTTATCAAATTAATACAACCAAGGAGTTTATAAATCATAAAATTTTGAGGAGTTTCTCAACTATAATATACTTTGTTTCACTTGTAAATACAATATTTCAAAAACATTATACAAAAAGAAAATGAGAAAGAACATATAATGTTTGAAGATCATATCAAATAATAATGTATTTGGATTATCAGTCTGTGTTGCATAAATTTTTGTTTATTTCACATCCTTCTTTTGCTGTCATATATACGTATATTGGAAATTTTTATTTAGTATCTTCATTTCTTCTTGTCATGTATGCTTACAATCTTTATTTAAAAAAATGTTACTGCTTCAAGTAGCTATCACTAACTATACTACACCACAGTACCTGCAAAAGTTGGTGGGAATCACAATAGCATATCCAACAGATGTTCCTCCTAAACAGTTACCCAATTCATGGAAGAGTCCATGAGCCATGGATTCCAACGGCAAAACAATAAGAAACATGCTCAAGAAGATTCCACTTGTTGGCTAAAAGAAATCCACAACAATATTTTTATGTAGCATATGAATGTATGTATATATTTACATACATGCATGTTGATTCACAGTTTTTACCCCTACTTCCAAGAAGCATAAAAGGAATAATCCAAAAACAATTATGTTATTATAAATTAAAGCATATCCATATCCATAAATGAGCTCACTAGTACAATGAATTTAAAATGTATCTCTTAAGTTTCTTAGATATGGTGGCAAAACACAGCATACCATATTTCAGAAATTTGTGGAATACACCCTACAAACTAAAAACAAAACATGCAATAAAGCCCCCAAAACATATCTCCTTGTTAAACCCACGTGTCTTATGTTATTCTTCAAGTTAACACGTTCATTATTTTAAAGAGGTTTTCTTTTCTTGTTCTTTACTTTTTTTTTTTGGTACCAGGGATAAAAATCAGGACCTTGCACTTGTGAGGCATGCACAGTGCCACTGAGCTAAATTCCCGGCCCAAGAAAGTCCATTTTTAATGAAAAGAATCCAGAAATTGTAAGAAAAAATCTTAAGGAAATTTAAGATCCTAAAGATTACAAAATCAATTATGACAATCTACTTTAAATTTTTATAATGTATCTATGAAAAGCTCTAAACTCTGTCTCTCAATTCAATACTGTAACAAAAATGGGAAAGGCAGAAAACATTAAGGACATTTAAATATCCTAAAACCATTACAGAAAATAGGAAAAAAGAAAAGCAAGATTAATTACAGTTTTTTAAAAAAAGGACCAATTTAAGTGAAAAGAAAATGGAAAGATAATGTTCATTCAGTCCTGAACTATTTCTTTAGACTGATACTAATCCACATTATTTTACTGCTGTACTTCTCTATGTTAAGTACATGTCTAACACTAAGGAGTGATTCATCTGATGAAAATTATAATAAAAAATAGAAAACAGGCTGCTGTATTAAAAATGGATATAGTCATATTTTGATAATTATTTTATCAATTATATAATACACATTACATATAATTATGTATTTAGTAAAAAACATACGTGCTCATTTTAGAAACATTGGAAAACATAAAAAAGTAAAAAAAGATATGATTAAATTTAAGTGCCATCAACCATATGCAGCTGCTTTCTGAATTAGTATTTAGACTTTACTCTGTGAATATATTATCACAAACACTCATATAGGTGTACGTAGTTTTAACAAAAAGGGATATTCTGTAAACTTTGTATATATTATAAGCCTATTAACATAATTCTAAATTAAGACCAAAAGGCATTCTATTATTGGCAATTAGATTGAATATAATTTGTCATTTTATAAACAAAATTATAATAAATATCAAGTTCTCTATTAATGAGGTTAAATACTTTTAACATTTGAATTCCGCCTTTGTTAAAGTGTTAAAACATTCTGTCCACTTTATTACAGGAATGGCCTTTTTCTCCATGATTACAGCTTTGTTTTGGTCTCAATATATCTTAGATAAAAGTTGTTTGTTGGAGCCAGACGTGGTGGTGCACGCCTGTAATCCCAGCACTCGAGAGGCTGAGGCAGGAGGATTGCTGTGAGTTTGAGACCAGCCTGGGCTACATAGTGAGTTCCAAGTCAGTCTCAACTACAAAGTGAGACCCTGTCTCAAAAAAGAAAAAAGAAAAAAGTTGTTTGTTGGATATATTGCAAATATTATTCCCCTTGTATGACTCCTTAATGTTGTTTTTTGATTAACATAGTTCTTAACTATAGTAATTTTGTGTCTTCTGAAAGAAATCTCCCTGTACCCAAACACAAGATATTTTACATTATCTTCTAAACGTTTTGCTCTTCACATTTAGATCTACAAGCAATCGATTTTTGTTTATAATCACACAACTTTGTTCCTACCTGAAAACTCCATTGTCCAAGCACCAATTATTGAAAATATTACACATTCCACATTATCAACAATGCCATCTTTTTTATAAATGAAGTATTCATGGACCTGTTGGGGACTGTCTTTGTATATCTTTCATGTAGTTCCTTTGGCCTTTATTTCCTTTCTTCATGGGAGTCTAGTCAAAGACAGATGAGATCTCCTCACTGTATTCAATCTTTCCGTTTCTTTCTGTTCATTATTTTCCATTTTTCCTCTTCTATGTTCCTTTTTGCATTTCTTATGATGGACCATTGTTCATTTCAGCTTTGTCTAACATATTTGTATACTATATTAACTTCAGATATTTGACTTTGCAATTATACTACTTAGTTCTTTTTCAAATCTGCCTTGTCACTATAGTTTCCAGTTTCCTACTATTATTTGCTGATCTTTGCTTTTTATTTTTTCAACTTAAGAAAAGCATGGCAGCTTTCTTGCTTTTTGATAATTCCTATAACTCAAGATTTTTGTTTTTTCTGCTGCTTCTTGAATTAAACACTGTGTGCGTATGTGTATATCTGAATGTGACCTGAACATTGTATATTTTAAAAAACCAACATTATTACATGATTCACCTTAGGTCTAGGACAATGATGCCTCTTTTTTGGAGGAGTTTCTGTTTTGTCTAGAAAACTGGGGATATATCTGCATATCTTGGGGTAGTCTACATATCTTTTGTTTAATTAGTATATGTTTGTGATACATAGCAATTATACTCAGCTTGGGGGTTTGATACATACATATATCACATTTTGATAATTTTTACTATCACCCCCAATTTCCTCTCTTCCTTCCTTCCCAGATTTCTTTTCCATTTCTACTGAGCCAGCTCCCTAGTTGTTAACATGTCTCATTATTTTGCTCTTTAACATGTTGCCATCAGCTCAAATCACTAGTGGTACAAGCCATCTGATGGGACAATCATGTATATATGACCTCGTTGTGAACTTGTTAAACTGTACCATGGGATATTTAATTTTGAGACTGACATATATTACTTAAGATTATGATCTCATGATCCATCCATTTTCCTACAAATGACTCATAATTGTCCTTTTTTGTGGCTCAGTAGCACTCCATTGTGTGTAAATACCACATTTTCTTCAACCATTCACCTGTTGATGGGCATATAGGCCATTTCCATGATTTAGCTATTGTGAGTTGTGCTAGTATACACATGGCCATGCATATACTGTACATTGGTACCATGGTTCATAAACTTAATTTGTTCCACAACTCCGGAAGAAATAGCCACGTCACGTTCATGTGGGAAAGACGGCTATAGTGATGTTTGTCCTCTGATGCAGAGTTCACAAAGAAAAAAAAAAATTTTGCCAACTGCTTCTGCTTTTAAACCAAATTTTCTGCAAACAAAAGTATTTGTGAACCAAGTTACCACTATACTGCTGTGGTAGGATGACTTTAGTTCTTCTGGGAAGAAAGTCAGAAAAGGCATAGCTGGGTGAAATAGAATTTCTATTTTCAGATTGAGAAATCTCCATACTGATTTCCAAAATGGCTGTACTAAATTACTTGATCTGTCTCTCACTCTGTACCAAAAAAACAGTCTACACATGTAAATCTATGTTTGGTCACTTAATCTAGGTTAGCCCATTATTAGGCATAAGGTTAGAATGCAAATTCAAGAGTTTCTTTATCTGTTTCTTTCTTGTAAGAATCTTTTTGGTTTAAGTCTTGTACTCTGAGTAACTATTTTGAAGATAGCACAGTGCAGTAACTACTGTTCTCTTATTATTTATGAAATTTTAACGTTTCATAAAATACAAATTTCTTTAAAAAGAGAGGACCATTATATATGTATATACATGGTTCCACCATTTTGTCTCAATATGTCAGTTTAAAATGGAAAGCAAAAACTAAGAACCAAGATGTATCATGTAAAGGTACAAACTCCCAATGATAAATGTCATCATACCATATACCTAAAATTAATAAAATTAATGAATAAAAAAAAGGGAAGTACTTTACCAATGACCCCACTTGTAGAAGACCTGGGCTTTAGTTTTTGCTCCTTTTGAGGGAATCAGGTGTAGCTCAGGTTTAAAAACTATTTCCTCTCTAACAAATGTCCATAGAATATAGCACTGAATCTTCCTACGCCAGTAGGTATAGGATATTTTTCTATTCATTCAAGTCTCTTTTATAACCTTCAGTGGAGTTTTATAGTATTTCTTCATAAAAGTGTCATAAGTTTCTTTTAAAACTTGTTTCAAAGCATTTTATATTTCTGTTGTTCTTATGAATTAAATCACTCCCATTATATTTTCTAACTAATTGTGATTTCCAGGCTACTAATGTGAATATATTTACATGATTTCATTTGCCAGGTTAATAGTATTAAAATATATTTCTAGTATAAACACTATATGTTCTTATTTAATTTGTTGAACATATATTTTTTAATTCTTAAATTCCAGAGAATTTATATAGCTTTTATATTGGTTTAATTAAAATTTAAACTATACAAACAAAATCAACTTTTTATGACAGAGTTTACAACTTTTGTATAATTCTCCAAACATTACTATACAATTCTAAATTAGTCAGTTACTTTGTAGGTCTGAAATATAGAGATATACATTTCAGACTTTCTTTTCAATATCCATTACATATTTTTCTCCATTATAACTGAAAATGCCTTTACCAATTAACTTCATGCACAAAAGTATTACTAATAGACATTCATACAACATAACTAAATGACATGAACAATATTATGACTTTATTATTTCTACTTTTAACTTTACATAACTAGTACTTTTAAAACCCAAACAACAATATAAGAAATTAAATTACTATCTTATAATTTAAAGCAAGGTAAAATGCCTTCAGGGGCTAGATAAGAAGATGTGTGCAGAAGCTATGAATGTAACAAATAATAGCAATGATTCTAAAGGAAGGCACACTGCCATCTAAAGGGATACACTTAAACATTCCTGCCATATGAAACTAGTATACTAAAGTACTGCACAAGCCAGTTTATTTGGTCATTATTATGCCATACAGATCAAGGATTTCTTTTCTTTTTTTTTTTTTTTTTTACCAGGGATTGAACTCTGGACCTTGCACTTGTGAGGCAG